GTTTTTAGGGTAAGGATTTTAGAAAAAAGTATCATCTTATAGTCGGAAAAATACAGTATTTTTTTCTCAGTCTTAAACCCAGTTTTCTCCATCAGTTACATTTGATCTTCTAATTTCATATTTTTTGTTAACATCTTCGCCTTCTGATTGTTAATCTTAAAACCTGCCAGGATACCAAAGTCCTTTAATTTTTCCATTAAGATTTCTACTCCCTCTAGCAGATCTTCCAAAGTTAACACCAGGTCATCCACAAATGCCCTTAACTTATACATTTCTTTTTTAATCTTAATTCCCGTGATTCTCTCATCTTGTCTTATGTCTCTATTCAGTACCTCAAGAACTAAAATGAACAAGAGTGGAGACAGCAGCCATTCTTGTCTTGTCCCTTTTTGAATCTCACAAGGTTTTATTAGTTCTCCTTTAACAATTATCTGTGCTTTCTGTAAAGTATAAATCGATCTTACCCATTTAATAAAATTATCTCCAAGATTCATATGTTCCAGAACTCTAAACAAGAAAATCCAATTCAAATTGTCAAAGGCCTTCTCTGCATCTAAGAATATAAATGCAGCTTGTTTTTCATTAAGTTGCTCCAAATACTGCAAAGTATCCAAAACTTTTCTAATACTATCTCATAATTGTCTTTTAGGTAAAAACCCTCACTGATCTTCAATAAAGTCCTGTAAAATTATTTTCAACCTTTCAGCCAAAAACATGATAAATAATTTATAGTAATTATTCAATAAAGATATTGAATGATAATGTCTTGTTAAAGTCAAGTCTTGGGCCTCTTTAGATATTAATGCTATATTAGCCTCTTTCCAGCTATCAGGAATCTTTCCATTCTGTAAAATAATATTCATCATTTTTGTAAAGGTTGTAAAAGCTCATCCTCAAAACATTTATAATAGGAAGCAGGGCCAGGTGCCTTTCCTGTTTTAATCTTTTTAATAGCTTTACACACTTTACTTATTGTTATAGGTCCATTCAAAATTCATCTCTGATTCTCTATAATCTTTGGTAAATTCTGTTTATGTAAATATCTATCCACTTTTTCTAAGGAAACTTCTTGATCTTCATATAAAGTAGAATAATACTGATGAAACGCTTTTTGCATAATCTGTTATTACAATATTTCCTTCTTGTAACTTTAATATCATTTTCTTTTCTTTTTCTTTTCTCAACTTATATGCCAACCATTTCCCCAGTTTATTTACAAATTCAAAATTTCTTTGTTTTGCATAATTCATCTTTATTTCCATCTCTCTCACTTTAAACATAGATAGTTGCCTCTATTAATTTGTTGAGTAATAGTTGTCATCTCTGGGGATTTTTAAAGTTCTCCTTCCTTTTTTTTCATGTCATCCAAAATCATTTGTATTTTCTCTTGCCTTTTCTTTTTAAGTTCACTATTACACTGTATAAAGTATCCTTTTACAAAAGTTTTACTTGCATCCCAAACCATTCTTACTTCTGTGCCTTTATTAAGATTATTCTCAAAAAATTATTTTAATTTCTTTTTGCAATCCTCCACTACTGCTTCCTTTCGTAGCAACATCTCATTCAATCTCCACCTAAAAGATCCCTTTTTCCTTTTAAAAGTTAAAGTCACTGGATTGTGATTTGAGAAAGTCTTTGGTAATATCTCCACTTTATGAACATTAGTAGCCAAAGTCTTAGAAATCCAAATCATATCTATTCTTGAAAATGATCTATGTCTTTCAGAAAAATAAATATATTCTTTTGAATCACCATTTTTATATCTCCATGCATCAACAAGCTCAAAAATTATCCATGAAATAAAAAAAAATTGTTGGTAGTTTACCTTGTGTATTTTTAATATTTGTCTATCTTTTTGTGAGGAAACGACCCCATTCCAATCTCCCAAGAGACACCAATTTTTGTATGGGAAGTCCAATAATTTGTTCATAAGTCCTTTATAAAATACTCTTCATTTGGGGCATAAATTCCCAATATCAAAGTCTAAGCCCCTTGCAAATTAAATTCCACCCCAACATATCTGCCATGATCATCAGTCAATGTAAGTTTTGGATATAGTTGAGGATTTATATACAAAACAACTCCATTTTTTTTCATTCCTTCTGAAATAAATTCTTCACCCAAATTTTATGACTCAAATATTTTATATCTTTTTTTTTCTAATATGCGTTTCTTGTAAGCAAATCACATCTTGTTTTAACTTTTTCAAATAATGACTCCCCCCCCCTTTTGAGGAGCATTTGCTCCATTTATATTCCATGTTAAGCATTTATAATCCATAGTTAGGCCAAGATTTTAGAAAAATCAATACCACTCAATAT